TGTTGGTGCTTCACTATACAAACTTAATGCATGGCCTATCACTTGTGTTTTGAACCAAAAGCAAGTTATTTTAAATCAAGTGATATATTTGTAAGTTTTCAGGGATGCAAAATAATAGAATAAAGAAATGGGAATTATGAAAACATTTCATTTAGGGGTGATCCATTAGAATTTTTGTACAGGGGGGAGGGGGAAGGGGGTCAGAAGATTTTGAAAAAAAATTCTTTCACAGTAAAAAAATTCCTGCAAGTCAAAATCTTGAAAAATCTCCACTAAAACTYTTTTAAGTTTACCAAAAAAATTACATGCGCCCGTCTGATCGAATTCGTAAAAAAACTTCTTCCTCTCCAACCCCCTCCCACTCCCCCTCCTTCACAAAAATGTTAATGCATCAATAATTTGCAAACTGTGCATAATATCGCGTCACGCGATCTTAATTGTGCTAAACAAAAGACGTTAAAACCCGTTGTTGTTTAATTACCAACTAATTAAATTATTGTACTTTATCCCATTTCACAAAAAATATCCTTTCAAACTACAACAAATCTCAAAAATATTATTTCTAAATGTTGTTTAGCGTGACTTTAGAATTCTAGTTTTTTCTCCATTGGGCATATTACGCGCTCTAGCTTCCTCTAGCTGTTGTGTATACGATTAAGAACTTCAAACACTTCAAAGATGAATAAATATTTATCGTTCAAAAAAAAAAAAAAACTCAAACCGCAAAAAAATGAGAGTCTTCATGGTGAAGCAAGGAAAATCTACCTCGTGTTTTGCGCAAAATGTTACTGTCTTTTCCACGTCTTCTTTTCCTTTGACTTTGACAAAGGCCAACGGGCGTCTATTCCTGTTAWCTGCATTCCAAGATTTATTGACCTCGTTTTTGTAGGCTATTTTATCAGATGCGATGACAATCTTTCCTTTGATGTCCTGTGCGAGGTGTAAAAGGTCGGCCATCAGTCGATACGACAACCTTCGTACTAAAATAAGGCGATATTAAAGAAATTCACAAACTCTGGAATCGAATACACGAATGCACACCTTCTTACGTTTGGTGACCTGTGCATAGATTATCTTTGTCATAAATGATTGAACATCAGTTGCCCTTTGATCTGAAGACTACGGTAATGCACGTCTGCTAGACATCCGTCTGCTACAGAATCTCGCGATCACTGTAATGTTACTCGTTGCGCATGATCAGAGCAAATATACCTATACTTCCAAACTAAACTATTTAGACCTGTGATAAAATTCAGTCAAGCTAGACAAATGTGGCTAGGCATGAGTGTACAAATAAATTCAAATTCCAGGAAATCTAAAAACGTATACTGGTATAAGT